GTTGAAATGCTTTAAGTCTTTGAGGGTCAGACAACTTAAAGGTTTCAGGATTTATAGGGCTAAAGGTTTAGGGTTCGGGTTCGGGGTTCGAGTGGGGGTTGAAGGTTTGGCAGCACTTCCTCTAGTAGCTACTGCCTCTTATTTGGGGCGTCGGAGCTTTCGTGTCGCGTGAAGTCGACCGCGTGAAGCCCTAAACCCTAAACCCTAAACCCTGAACCCTAACGTCGACCGCGTGAAGCGAATCTGTGCCCCCCCCCCACCCTAAACGCCTGAAGCCCTAGGCTTCACCCCTGAACACCTAGAGCCCTAAGCCCTCAACACCTAAACACGAAACTCTAAGCCCTAAGCCTAAAAGCCTAAACCCTAAACCCCTCAACCCCCCAACCCTAAACCCCAAACTCTAAGCCCCAAACCCTAAACACCTAAACCCTAGACTCTAAGCCCGAAACCAGGTCAGTGGGGGTCTCCCATGCAGCTTTCCTGACCAAGGCCCGTTGCGGTACTCTGCAGTGCTTGGAGGTTCATGGTTAGCTATATACTAGAAGCCAGAAAGTTGGAACATGGGTTTAGGAGGATTAGTGCTAGGATCCCTTATACATTACCTTAAGGGCACGAGGAAAATGATGTTCCAACTTTCTGGCTTCTACCATAAGGATTCCTGCAAGGGTCCCGTTAAAGGGATCTATAGGGTTTTGGGTCTAGGGTCTAGGATTTCAGGGTTAGGGTTGATTATAAGGGTTCCTTTAAGAGTCCTTTTAAAGGGATCTATAGGGATTCTATAAGGGTTCCTTTAAGGGTCCTTTGGGATTATATACAGCATTCTAAAGGGGTATGGGGTTTGGGGCCTACTTGGAGGTTCATGGTTCGTTATCGGGGTGAAAAGTATGGGCACAGTGCACACGTTCAGGTTGCTCATGTTATAGACTCGTCTGTTGTTTTCTTCAATCCTGCTGCAGATGATAGATTTGGCGATGATGGTTATAGTCATGGGGAGGAGCAGCATGAGCATTACGATGGAGATGATGAGCATGCACAAAGGCTCAAGATTCTCGAGGTCGGGTAGGGCTTAGGGTCCAGAGCATCCTATCGGAAAGGGAGATTTTGTGAATACGTCTTCCACAGATGTTGACCGCGGCAGTCATGCTGTCCTTGGGCCGGCTGAGGGATCTCTGGCCAGAGCGAGTTTCCGGAAAGTCAGCTATACAGCGTATATGGGTTCAGGTTTTAAAACTATTTCGTCGCTAAGGCCCCTGTTTTACCGACGGAACATCATTTTCTACGGCGGCCAGCATGGCAGGGCAGCTAAGCTTCATTCTGAGACTTTGAGCCCACTCTGTTCAGGGGTAAGGCCCATACAAGCTGCGCAAAGGCGAATGATTCCGGAACGTAGGACCCTAAGCCCTGAACCCTCGTCCCTAACTAAACCCCAGCGCTCAAATCCGTACCTAACTCCCGAAGCCTGATCCCAAGGTGTGCATAGTAACCCCTAGTCTAAGTAGCCATACTATGGTATACATACATGTGTGTTTACATGCAGTATAATAAATCATAGTGTAGTTTTATATAAAAAACATAACCTTTATCCTAATATTGGATGCCTTGTATGATATGTCCCAATATCATATATCATAATGTCGTATGATAATAAGAAACAATATATATATATATATATAATGTAGATGTACAGACTATATACTAGTCCTTACATAACAATCCTGAGCATGTGCTGCAGGCTGGAGAGGTATACTGCTTGGGCAGGAATAGCTGCGGTGAGTGTCGCAGCTGACTTTATGAGGGTTTAGGGTTTAGGGGTTTAGGGGGGTTTAGGGGTTTAGGGTTTAGGGGTTTAGGGTTTAAGGGTTTAGGGTTTAGAGTTTAGGGTTTAGGGGTTTAGGGGTTTAGGGTTTAGGGTTTAGGGTTTAGGGGTTTAGGGGTTTAGGGTTTAGGGTTTAGGGTGAGGGCCATTCGTCAGGGCGGAGGGTTAGTGTTCAAGCGATTAGGATTTAGGTCTCAGTGACTCAGCGCTTGCCGAAACCCTTAATTCACCCTAAACCTCGAACTCTGCAGGATTTAAGGGTTGAGGGTTTAGGGCTCGAGGGGCACTAAGCATAAAATCCAGGAAGCAGTGCTTGTGATGTCCGGATGTTCAAAGCGCGCACCCGAACCCTACCTCCCACACCCTACCCCTAAACTCCAGACCCTAAACCATAAACCCCCAACCCCTAAACCCCTTAGGTCCCAAACCCCGAACCCGATCCTGGCATTCCAACTCCTGATTGGGCAGGCGGAAAAGAGGGTTCAAAAGCACAGAAAAGAACAAACCCGATCCTCTAGAGCCGTCGGCTTCAGATTCTTGTTCGCTCTTCGGGCCTCGTACTCTAAACCCCAAACCCTAGACCCTTATAGAATCCCTATAGATCCCTTTAAAGGAACCCTAAAGGAACCCCTTAGAGTTACTAAGTCCCCTAAAGACCCTCCAAGTAGGACCTCAGAACTGTATTAAGGGCCTTATGACTTCGAGCCTAAACCTTAAACCCTAGGATGCCCAGTAGTAGGGGTACCTTTAAAGGGATCTATAAGGGCTCGTTAAAGGGATCTAGAAGACTTCTATAAAGGGTTTAGGGTTTCCGAAAATTGGGGGCTAGGATGCCCAGTGGTACCCTTATTCCCTTTTTGTAGTCCTAGGTTCCTTATAAAGTTACCCAATACCAAAAAGAGAGGCCTTTCTATTCTTGGGTTACTGGGTATCCTAGAACCCTAAGCCGGGTCGTTTCCCGTGGTTCAGGGCGAAGGTGGGGGAGTTGAGCCTAGAGTATGGTGTTGAGTGCTACAGGGTTTACGTTCTTCCCTACATCACTGTGGAGCGGTCTGCTTTCCACGTTTTCGGAGTCTCTTGTTTGACGGACTGGAAGAAACCTGTTGCAGGTATCATACAGAGGAAGTAACTTCAGATTCACTTCAGATATAAAAATGAGGAGCAAAGGAAAGCATATTCCAGACTGCGATTCCCGATAGCAGTCTCAAAGTGTCCTATGTACCGATATAGTAGAATGTAGGGTTTCCAGATTAGGAATTACTACTATGACTGAGGGAAGTATCCCCCATAACAGTACATAGGAACCCCTTTGGGAGTATCTTAAATTGAGTTTTTTTTGACAGGGGCACAGAGAAGAGCCAGATCTCGACAAACCCAACCCTAACCTCAAACTTAAAGCTACTAGCTCCCCAAAAAAACCGTAAAAGCCCTACACCCCAATAAGGAGCATAGTACAGGAAGAGAACACTCTGTCAAGTTTCGCTTTTCCCGCTTTCCTTGCGACAGGCTGGCAGTCTCAGTGCTGCATTAGTAAGTTTGGTGCTTCGGGCTTAAGGCTACTTGTGTGAGCTTCGTCTTCCTGCAATGTGCTGTGACTTCGGCGGCATATCAACTTCCCTCGGCTTTCAAGTATGTCGGGCAGGTTGATTCGAGTCTGATATGCCAGGTGTGGCGTCGATCCCGCAGTGCGGAATGTTGCCGCCACATGCACGCGGGTGCGGCCTGCCTGAGCAAGACTGTTTGCTAAGATTATCGGAATTCACGGGTCGGGAAATTGAGGGTACTACAGTGGTTGCAACTGTAAGTACGTAGCGGTCTCGATTCACGGCAGCCACCTCGGTCCCACCCTCTCTCAAGGATTAAGAGTAATTCGGCCGGGTCCAGAACAGGGTTTGCTCAATTAATTCGACCTGTTGGAACAATGCGGGACAAGGGTGTCGCGATGGAAGCAGCATTCGTCGTAGTGGTAGAGGTGGTGGTAGTTGTGGTCGTGGTGGTAGTAGGGGTTATTAGCGGTTATCGTTGCTGCCGCCGTCGTCGTTGTCACCTTGATGGCAGTTGTGTCGAGAGTAGTTAGTGGTGGTGCTGCTGCGGGGGCCGGTGCTGGTGCTGGAGCTGTCGACGTTGTCGTGGTGGTAGTAATCGTCGCTGTGGCTCTGGTGACAGGTAGTCTATGTTATTGCTGCGGTTGCGATTGTAATGGTTGTTGCTGTTTTGTTGTTGTTGTGGTGGTGGTGGTGCCTGTTGTGGTGGCGGTGGCGGTGGTGGTGGTGGTGGTGGTGGCGGCGGTGGTGTTGCGTTGTGGTGGTGGTTGGTGGTGCTGTTGTTGATGATTTGTTCGGCTTGTTGGTGTTGTTCTTTGTGGCGATGAATCACTAGTTAGTTTGTTCGTAGGTTAGTCATTAAGTTGGGTAGATATCAAAATGGCTCTATAGTTTGATGGATTTTCATGATTGTTGTTGTTGTTGCTGCTGGCTGTAGGCCGTTGGCTGTTTGCCCTTGGCTGTTGGCCATTGGCTGTTGGCTGTTGCTGTTTCTGTCTCTGTTGCTGTTGCTGCGCCAGCTTCTGCTACTGCAGCTCCTGCTCCTGCTGCTGTGTTATCGATATTGCCGTGCTGCGATCGCAAAAAACATCAGCATCTTGCACAAACTGGGCGACACACACAGACTATCTGTGTTGCAACCATACTGTGGATACGCAGGACTTAGGGTTTGTATTGTCTGAATCGGATGTTATGTAGTATAGAGTCTTAGAGCAGTTCCAAAAATGGTAAGGTTCTATGCGGCGTTGTTTGATTCGCTTAGCCCAAACCGCCGCAGCTTCGAAAGCCATACATTGCAGAATGCCACATGGCACAGATTCCAAATCTAATCCCCATCCTAAATGCACAGAATCTCACGAGACCTGCAGACTTAAGGCTTCAGGGTTTAGGGCTATTCTGTTTGTACTTTTGGTTCTAGAAACCTCGCCTCGCAGGAAGCACTGCTCGATGCAGCAAGCCTGCAGAGCACAAGCTGACATAGTGGAAATAGCACTCCGTAGTAAGCGCAATACGAACTTTTCAGGGATGTGCCCAGACTACAGATGCTCAAACACTGAAGCCCTATACCCATACCCTAAACTAAACCCTAAACCTCATACCCTAAACCCTAAGCCCCAAACTTTCTTCTGCTTCAGTGAGCTATGTCGGTGAAACATACCGTCGCGGACCCGCGGCAGCTGCAGCTGGCACATGTGGGCGAGGGCAGAGGCGCCATGCGAGGGTTTACCTTGAACCCCATATAATCGGAGGCCTCAACAGGTGGGATGAAGGTAGGATCAAGGTTACTTTATATAAGGACTCTTATTTGGGAATATCCCACCTACCCTCATCCCACCTTTTGAGGCCTCCGATATAACCTACCTTTCTGTTTTAAGGAGTTGTTTCAGGAATTCATAATTATAAGTGACCCTAAGAAGGGTAGGGTTTATAGTTTATAGGGTCCAGGTAGGGTTTAGGGCTTAGACACACAAACACCCTTAGCCCCAAAGAGCTCCATTCCGTTGAAAACCCAGAAATCCTGAACCCCAAGGGAAGACCCACCTCCCACCCTTCTACTTGGTTCATAAGTCCCCCAATATGGGTTATAATTATAGTTATCCTACTTTTGACACCACATATAGCTATCCATGAGCCCCCCAAATAGAGCCCCAACGGCGTACAACGACCAAACGGAAGCCGTAGTAGAATCCTTGACAAACCCAAAGAACCCTAAAGCCCTAAACCCCTCTGGCCTAAACCCCTAATCCCCCTAAACCCCTAAAACCCGTAAGCCCCCTAAACCCCCAAACTCCCAAAACCCAAAACACCCAAAAGCCCCAAACTCCCTAAACCCCCAAACTCCCAAAACCCCTAACCCCCCTAAACCCCTAAACCCCTAACTAAACTCCCAAAACCCTAAACCCCCAAAACCCCCTAAACCCCTTAAACCCCCAAACTCTCAAAACCCCTAATCCCCCTAAACCCCTAAACCCCTAACTAAACTCCCAAAACCCTAAACCCCCAAAACCCCCTAAACCCCCTAAACCCCCAAAACCCAAAACCCCTAAACCCTTAAACTCCTCAAACTCCCAAAACCCGCCCGAAAGCCCCAGACGAGGTTTCTTCGACTTCCCGGCCGAAACTCGCTCTGCCCCGCCCTCGCGCTCGGGGCGCCCGCCCACGGCGCTTATGGCCGGAGGCGGGGTTTGGGTTTAGGGTGTGGGATGTAGCGGTTTAGGGTGTCGGGTTTACGGTTTAGGGTGCAAGGTTATAGGGTTGAGGGTTTAGGGTGCAGGGTTTAGGGCTACTACAAGTTCTATAGGGATGCCATGAGGGCTCTATGAAGGGCCTACCAAGGGTCTATGACAAAGGATATCTACAATCAGAGGGTTCCAGGAAGGGTTGTTTGAGGCTGCTATATAGGATTTCTGTAGGGTGGAGTAGGCTTCAGGGGTCTTTTGAACACGTAGGGTTTGGGGGTTTAGGGTTTAGGGTTTAGGGTTTAGGGTTTAGGGATAGGGTTTAGTAAGTTTGAGGGTTAGGGGTTACTATGTGGGGTTTCAGATTTAGGAATTAGGTTTCGGGCTTTCGGAAGTATGGCGTGGGGTTCAGAATGTGGGGCGCTAAATTTGGAGCTCAGGGCGCAGTGTTCAGAATGGGCAAGAAGTGAGATGCATTTCAAAAGCTACGGGTCTGTCGTGTAGCCACGGGCTAGGAAAGGCTTTCAGACGAGTTGATGTGGTTCCTTCGGATTCTCAGAGAGCAGACAGTGGATTGCGATGCTTAGAAACCCCTAAACCCTAAACCCTAGGGTGTGCGGCGGAGGTTGGCAGGGGACCAGGGGCCATCCACACAGGAGCCTTAGTGAATCGGGCTTCGGAACGCCGTAGCTGCCCAAGATTACCCAAGACGACCGAAACGCTACACTGTGGCTCAAACTCTAAATGCGGCATGAAGCAGGTCCTCGCCGAAGCGATTCTTTTTCAGAAGTCTGTCTGAGCCATGGCATCCACCCGAAATCCATCACCCTCGACTCCGAACTCTCAGCTCGTGTAAGCTGATGTCCGTAAATTTACGAAATCCTACTTTGAACCAAAAGTCAGAACGATGGAACATCATGATCCTCATACCCGCGATATAGAGCAATGGGAAATCCAGCACTAAACATGCTCTACGCATGTTCCGATTTTATAACTCGTACGATCAAGTACCATAGCCTGCTGAGTTGACTTTCGTTAATAGAAACCGTTAGCAAGACTTGTTAGGGGCCTACAAAAAGCAGGTGATGGTGCGCCAAGGTAAAGCTCGAGCCCGAATCTTAAACCCGAAGCCCCTGTGGATCTCTTAAAGGAGCCCTAGTACCGTAAACTCCATAAAGTTGGAAACCGGATTAAGGCCAAATAGTGCTGGGATTCCTTATATGTTACTCTTAAGGATTGAGGCTATGGGGTTTCCAACTTTTGGGCTTCTACTGTAGATCCGTTAAAGGCACCCGCTCAGGTCCCTTCGACGAACCCAAAGACCTTGTTGACCGAAGCGATTCGCTATGTGCCAGGTGCCAGCACCCTGCGTCCCATTCCGGACACGCGGGGGTAAGGGTGTAAGAACTTGCCAAAAAATGGCTTTAGGTGTTTGGGGTTTAGGATTTGGGGTTTATGGGCTTTAGGGTTCGGAGTGTGCAGATTTAGGGCTTCAGGGTGTAAAGGTTGTCATGATTTATATAGAGTTTCATAGGGTTTCAGGTTTTCAGTTGGAAGAGGATAGGGCTTACAGGGCGCGAGGGCTTCGGTTTTGAGGGAAGAGTTTAAGGTTAGGAACTTCTCTTGGGCATCCTCAATTCATGCGCAAACTGTTGTTTTCAAACCGTTGATTCTCCAAATGGCTTATCATGCCCTAAGCCAGAAACCTATGACCGTACTGGATTTTGTTGCATGCATCTCGGCCCGGCTCCCTTCTGTTCTCCTGCATCTGCTGTGAAGTCTAGTCTGAAACTTTCAGGCTTGACTCAGGCATCTAAGTGGTACAAACATACTACATACATACTGGTACATACCCACAGTATTCCTGCATAAGTCTTACATAAATACCGTACTTACGCCGTACCTCTGGACCCCATTCTACAGTGAAAGCCCAAGAGTTGGAAACCCAATAGCGTCAACTCTGAAGAGTAGTACATATAGGGAATCCCAGCATTATTTGGCCTGAATCTGGTCTCCAACTTTATGGGGTTTACTGTAATTCTCCAGGCCCCTGCTACCCATGAACCTGCAAGTAGCATGCAAGCCCAGCGCGTTGGCAAAGCTGAGGGTTTACGGGCCCCTGAACCCTAAACCTTGCGTACTGCCCCCGCGCTCAGTAGCAGTTGAGTAATACTCATAATATGGATATACAAGTTTTAAAAGGCCCTTAATAGTAGCCCTATTGTAGACTTTTACTGCATGGGGGCAGTGCCCAACTTAACCCATAAACCCTTGAACCCTGAAGCCTACCCTAAACCCTAAAAAAAACTCAAAACCCCTACACCCCAAAACCCCCAAAACCCCCAAAACCCCTAAACCCGAAAACCCTAAACCCCAAAACCCCTATACCCCTAAACCCCCAAAACCCCTAAACCAGAAAACCCTAAACCCTACGAGCCCTAAGCCCATAGGGTCACCCTAAACCCTAAGCCCTAAACCAGTACGAACCCTAAGCTTGGGGGTATTCTCTACCATCATTTACTATGACTTTTTAAGGCTCATAGTAGAGGCTCCCGAAACATGGTAGAGAACACCCCCAACCCTAAGCCCATAAACCGTGCACAGGAGACCGTCTCGCTCTGCAACGAGCCTGCGTCCTCGCTAGCATCGCGGAGCAAGGCCTTCATTGCTTTGTCATAGTTGGGTTTAGGGTTTTAGGTTTAGGGTTTAGGGTTTTACATTTTTATGAGCCTAGGACCCAGAGTAGGCCCTTATTCCCTTTTTTTAGGGTTTAGGTTTCCCTAAACCCCCTTTAAACCAAAAAGGGCACCCTTTTTACTGCTAGGTAACTCTTAGGTTTAGTCATAGTTGGGTAACATTTTACATTTTTATGGGTACTTAAACCCAAAAAGGAATGAAAATTTCAAATTTTTCATCCTATCCCAACCATGAACTAGATTGGTTGAGGGAGAAGATATGGTTCGTAGAACTTAATGATAACAATAGCAACAGCACAGCGGCCTCAAAAACTGGTATGCTATTCCTTGGGATTCTGTTACCCTAAAGCTCTATTCCAAACATTCAGGCCTCCATATTGAGGCCTAGCGTAGAGAGCAGGTCTTGGGGTTCTCATCTTTCATCTTCTAAGCCAATGGCTTGAGCTGAAGTACCGAGTTAGGATTCCAGGTTTCCAAGTGGAGTCCAGGGTTTAGAGCTTCAGGAGGGAGATTAGGTTGAAGGAGTGATCCGTCAATCCTCATACGGGCAACGGAACTGCAAAGCAAGGGTCCAATTTCTTTTGAGAAGGACTTGCACCCTAAATTGTATACCCTTGACCTTAGACCCTGAACAAGGAGCCGTGGCGCTCCCCGGCAGTGGCAGACTTTGCAACTGGCCTGGAAACAGGCAAAGTGGAGGCCATTGCGCTTCCGGTGGTTTAGCATGTCCAGGCTCGTTCTTCGGGCGTGTGGGGCTTGAAAAGCAGTAGGGGATGGGTTTGATAAGGAGGGGTACCCTTAACCTTCAAATAAGCCTCTAACCTTCTTTATCCTAGCACCTTATGCCTTAACGCGGCTAATCCTAGATTGAGGCAGTTCGTGCTGGCAGTGGACTCATCAGCTGTTCAGCATCGCCCAGACGCGCACGCATGCACGGACTTTTTCTTCTGTTTTTGTTTCTCTCTCTCTCTCTCTCTCTCTCCCTCTCCCTCCCTGGTTCTTTGTTATGTTCCCGCAGGTGCTTTCTACATTCCTTGTGTGAGTTTGCCAGGCCTGAACAGTATCATCCGCCTTCTGCCTGTTTGCATACGACTCGAAGCCAAAAAGACCGTTGGCTTTTGTGTCGTTACCCGGCAAGAACGACGCAGACTTGTCTGCACTTCCTCATGTACGGGCCGTATGTACATAATAGATCAGAGCTTACATGTGAAAAGCTAAAAAAAATTACCCTTGCCTTCGCGATTTTCTGGGTCGGTGTTTGTCTGGGGGTTTATTGTAAAAGCCAGAAAGTTGGAATATGATTATCCTAACCCTTCTATGGTAAATTGTAGGGTATCCTGCCATGAAACCATATTCCAACTTTCTGGAGTTCCCTATAAACCCCTAAACCCTAAACCCTATAGATCCCTTAAAGGAACCCTTAAGGATCCCCTATAGATCCCTTCAAAGGAACCCTTTCATGTTAGGGCCTCCGGCCGGGACTCGACCTTCGCAGTGACCCTTGTGTGCAGGCCATGGTCCTGCATGGTCCTCGAGGTGTCTTGGCAGATGAACCAGGACCCTCCGTGTACCCTCAAATAGGGGTATATGGTCCCTAATAATAGGTACATTTGGTCTAATAGAGGGTAGAAGGAGGGCCTAGGAAGCTTCGTCAAGTTTGCCTCCCACTCTCGACCACCCCACGGTTCGAACTTGGGGCATCTCTTTCGCTTAAGGATTTGATTTGAACGGCCCAATAGCTTCGTTTCGTTGCAGCGTCGTTGGGTCAAGATCGTGTGTGTCTGACTGTGCCATCACTGTTAGAGCGATGTAGCTGTGAGCATGCTGGTTCCGATGAACACCTCTGTTCATGGTCGCTTTTCGCCGCTGTCGCTTGCTTTTCCCAACAGGAGCTACAAAGATGTATATGTTCTTCATGGTTTCAGTCAGGTGTTTGTTCGAGTTACGATGAAACTCATGTTGGCGTTCCGTCCATGTTGTTCTTATCAGCCCTGACCCCGCTGCTGAAGCACGAGGCCTTGCTGTGAGATGCGTAAGGGCCGAACTTTCAACATGTGACGTGAAACCAACATGGTTTTCATAATTCAAAAGTTCGGTTTCGAGACATAAACCTCATAGGAGGCCAAGAGGGTTTTAGCCTATGGGGGTTTAGTAGGGATTAGGGTTCCCATAATAGGGTTCATATTAAGGAATCCCTACCCCAAGGATCTTAAACCCCCCTTTTGGCCTCCCATCAAAACCAAAACCCGAACTCAGGTCCAAGTAAACCATAAACCTGAAACCCTGGACTCTCGACCCTGAGCCGTGAAATACCTGGGCATCCTACAGCCCTAGGGTTATGCGTAGGGTCGGTATCTATACTTATAATAAATCCGTTTTAGGGAACTTACAATCGCCCTTATTATAACTACTCCTAAATCCTGAACCCTGAATTCCTAGACCCCAAAGCCCTACAAAATCTTTATGAGGTTTGGCTTTGCGGGCTGCGGGGGAGTCCAAGGACCACCAGGTGGCTACCAAGGTGGGGACGCTTTTCTTGTCATGTTAACACTATCCTAGGTTCCGAAATATTACCTCTTGGCTTTTTTGGGTCCCCTGCCTAAAACCGTATAGTAGGAAAAACCGTACCCTTATTATAAAGGGGCCACTCAGAAACCTAGTATCACTTACAATTACAATAGCAAGAATACCTGTGAGTGTTTGGGGCTCAGGGTAGTTTAGAACCAACACTATCACTAGCCGTAATAATGTAGCAGTAGCAATATGATGTATTAGTATAGCTATGAGATGATAATAATCAGGTTGCTCATAGGTGTTTATGGTAATTGGTTGAAGGGTTCAGCGTTTAGGTGTTTGTCTGTGGAATGTTTCCTGGGGCTTACTTGACGGTGCATCATAGTCGTACATAGTTTCATGTGTTCAATCAGGTGCATAGCAGGGTTTTGTCAGCGCTGCGGCGCGTGCATGCGTGTGCGCGTGTGTGAGAGAGAGTGTGTGTCTCAAGGGTTCAGGGGTTTGAGGTTGAATTGCTTGGAGGGTCGGGGGACTTAGTAAGTAGGTAGTAAGTAGACTTAAAAATACCCTAGATCGGGACCCTAATTGGAGTTACGGTACTCATAAGTCCCCAAAATTAACCAGTTACTAAGTTCCCCGACCCTCCAAGTAGAGAATCCTGGAGTTGGAATTTCAAAGGGGAAAAGGAGGGACCCTTAATGGGGACCCCTACCCTATAATGGGCCATATAATGGGTATATAATGGCTATATTAAGGGAGTATACCTAGGGGTCCGTATTAAGGGTCCCTCCTTTTACCCTCCTTTTACCCTCGGAGAATTGTATTGGGTTTAGGTGGAACGCTGCGCCTTGGACATGCGGAGAGTGCTGCTGATACGGCATCCTAGATCTGCTGCCAGGGTGTAGTGTGGTTCCAGGTTCGTGAAAGGGCAGCTCAGAGGGTTATATACGAGTCTTAAGGGTTACTACAGGGTTTAGCATAAGTGTTACTACAATAGGGGCGGACGCCGGCGAGCTGAAGTGACCGCACGCAGTTTTCGAATACGTCAGTCAGGTCACCCAAACTTGCTGGCATCAGGTTTGGGAACAAGGTGAGGCACCCCGAAAGAAACGGGCATGTCGATATCTCTTGTACATGGCTTCTTGAACAGGGACTTCCCTTCCGAAGACGCTCAGCCTTCCCAAAAAAAACCCAAAGATTGAAGCCTGGCCCAAACCCAAACAAACCCAGAGATTGAAGCATGGCCTAAACCCCAAAACACCCAAAGATTGAAGCTCGGCCTAAGCCCAAAAAACCCAAAGATTGAAGCCTGGCCTAAGCCCCAAAAAGCTCAAAGATTGAAGCCTGGCCTAAACCCAAGAAACCAAAAGATTGAAGCCTGGGCGCAGGTGGTAGCAGATATCGAGGCCAGGAAGCAGCAGCAGAAGGCGGTCCAGCAGGCTTCGAGATGGATTCTGGAAGTTTAGTGATGTACATGCTTGTCAGTTCCGCTGTTGCTGCTCGTCTTCTTCTACTTGTGTAAGTGGTGGACAGTAGTAGTAGTAGTAGTAGTAGTAGCAGCACCAACAGCAGTGGTTGTGGTGTGGTAGTGATAGTGATAGTGGTGGTGGTAGTGGTAGTAGTAGTGGTAGTGGTAGTGGCAGAGAGCAGCAGGACTACCACTACCACTACCACTACCACTACCACTACCGCTACCGCTACCACTACCACTACCACTACCACTACCACTCCCACTCCCACTCCCACTCCCACTACCACTACCACTACCACTACCACTACCACTACCACTACCACGACATGACACCATGTGATTGTGGTACGGGCTTTTATACTCCGCACTACGCACCACGTACTACGTGCTGGATAATTTTTCCTTCTACCTGTAGTACTTTGTGTTAGGAACAACCACATGTATTTGATTGTTGAGATCGGGGTTGTCAGGGTCTTCATGGTGATGATCGTGTTGTTGCTGGTTGCTGTGGCGACGGATGTCTCCGCGCCTTTTTGGACTTGCTTTCTCGCTTGCCTGCTTGCCTGTTGCTGTTGTTTTGTCGAGTCAGGGTTCTTAGTGTCGCAGTTGTTGCATTGCTCTGTGTCTCTTCTCTTTGCTTTACATACATTTGTGTGGGGGACTTGAACTGCCATGGCTCTTTATCGTAATGATGATAGGGATCTATAGTAAATAGTATGCTTTCCTTGTTATGGTACCTTAAACTAAAATTCCTTAACCCTAAACTCTTATAGAACCCTAAATACCCTAAACCCGGACACTTATAAAGCCCTTAAAGGAACCCAGTTGATGGTAATTTTGCTTGCAACTGCGGCCGCGGCTCCTCGGCCAGGGCCCTTCTGTTGACCTCGCTGAGCACAACATGCAGCTGGCCCGGCAGTCAACCCTAAAGCCTGAATACCGATACTATAATGAGAATAGGGTTCCTTTAAAGGGGTGAATAAGGTCTATGATACGGACTTAATATATGGGCCTCAATAATTATCAATACTTTTAAGGGGCTCCTTATGATAATTGTGGTATAACGGGCCCCCAAACTTAAAAACCCTTTTCTAACCGTCAAGGCCCCTATATTAGGTCGATAGGTGGCTATGGCTATTGCAAAACTGTGCGAAGGCCGTCATGACGCCCCAGGCACCCCTTCATTCCACCCCTTTGAAGGGAAGACTCCGTACAGTATCAAGGTCAAGGGGGAGGTGGGGTGCAGGCTTTGGAATTCAGGTTCGGAGGCTCTTTGCTTCCGAGAGCGGTGAAGTTGGAAAGCGCTCAAGCTCAACCGAAACTCAGCAGGACCCTGGACCCTAAACCCCAACCCTAATCCCTAAACCTCAAACCCTAATTCCTAAACCCTGAACCCCAACATTGTCGGAGCTTGCAGCCCTCAGAGGCTCATGTTGGGTTTTTTTTCCGAGGTATCGCTACAACAAATCCCGTCGCAACGCCGTTCCCCGAGCTGACGACCTAGTGCTGGCAGTGCCATCCTCGGCGCCGCGCAGCTTGGCAGCGAAGAGTTTCCGATCATGTTGGTCAGGGGCGTCAATGTCAAAAGGTGGGATGAAGGTAGGTAGGATGAAGGATACCTCTTTGATGAACTCTTATTTAGTTATCATCAAACCCATATTCATCACAGTTTTGGAGAAGTTTGAGTTGGAGGGCTCAATTAACAAAGAGTCTTCTGAGGTTCAGGTCGCTGAAGCTGTGCTTTGGTTGTGCTTGTTTCATAAGCTGTTCATGACATCCCTATGCAACCTACACCCCTAAACCCTGACGGTACAGAACCTAAGCCCATTTCCAAACCAGAACCCTAAACTCTCAACCCTAAACCGCATGAAGGCGAGGCACCGGCATTTGGCGCCGTCTACGAGTGCCATGGCCTGCAGAAGCGCTGGCTGTTGGGGTCAGCATCGGTTGTTAACCCTAAGACTTCATGTAGCCCCCGAGGGTTCCTTTAAGGGTTGCTTGACAGGCTCCATTAAGCTTTCTATAGTTGTTGAGGGGTCGGAGGCTCCCAATACCGAAACAGTATATACCCAGGCCTTTGAAGTACCAAAACAGGAAACCCGATGTGGCCGAAGCTTGAGCCATATAGGTACATGGAGCCTCAGGGTCTGTGCTCCGCCACGGAGCCAGCGGAAACCTTTCAATCTTTCGTCCTCGCACGAAAACTTGCATTGCTAACTCCACGTCCCAAATGCCTACCTTGCTTTTTTCCTGCTTTGAGCTTTGAGCTACACACCAAGCCCTAAACCCTAAAGCCGAGGCCCCGAACCTCCCAAAGAAGAAAAACATGCCGTAGTTGGAAGTTATAAGTACAATTGCCCTATCTATAACTCCACTTATAACTACGCATGAACCTCCAAGTAGTAGGTATCGGGACTCCTGTGGAACTGCCAAAGTGGTGGCCTCGACTGCCTCCGTTCCGGAACGTCAGTTTGCACTGGACCGGGCTGGGTGCGCTTTGTGATTAAGATTTCGGTTTCAGGTCTAGGGTTTAGGGAGACTTCTGTTTTAGGCTCAGGGAAACTTCTACAATTTAGTGTCATTTTTGTGGATCTGCTCGTACGAAAGTCAACAGAGTTGTAGGAATGTAGGGGACCGTAATGCAGACTCTGAGTAGAGCACCGAATAGAGGATCCCGACGTGCCAAACACCCGAAAACGAACTCGGATGGTTTTAAACTGAGGTCTTAGAAACATGGTTGAAGGTTGATGGATTATGGAGGGTTCGGAGCTTCCGCGGATTGTGTGTAACGAAAAACAGAACTCGTCCGAAAACTTTATCCTAAACAACGAGAGCCAGAGCTAAGGATTTAGGGTCAAGCTTTGTCCTAAAGCCATGTGCTCAGGCACAAACCCTGCATACCAATCCTGAATTGTCAACACCTGGTCGCTAGGTGGAGGACGGTTGGGTACAGGGTTGGGCTTGCGTCTTCCAAGTCTGCGTCGGGCGGATCTGCATAACCTTGGTGATCGCGAACCGGAAGAATCATTTCTTCGTAGTATAGTAGGTAACCTTTAACCATTGTGGGGGTATTGTACACACAGTCTAGTCCCAAGGGTTAACCTCTAGTTCCCCTAACAGCAAAAAACATCAAACCCTCTGAGATGCAGAGCTCTAAAACTTGAAACGCCCTGAACCCCAAATCCCAAACCCCAAACTTCTTCTGTGAAGATGCCCAGTCCCCGGCTGTCCCATCTCGGTGCAGGATCAGCGACACTACGAGAATGTCCTGCCGGCAAAGATGGACCCTAAGTTGGTTTGGGTGGGCGTCTCTGGTGGCAGGCCAGAAAGGGTTAAGTATCCATCGTCAGTCATACAGCTCTGAGGTCCGGGTTTTGAGGATGGGGGGTTAGGGTATGCAGGACGCAAGGTGTGGGGTTGGTCATTTAGGGCTTCGAGGTTGAAATTGGGGTTAGGGTATATCGAGTTTCAGTTCATAGCAGCGTCGAGGTGAAGACAAGAGACTTGGTTTAATTTCGGGGCTGGGCCTTCTGTGTTTGGCGTTCTACAGGCTGTGCGGAGCACGTATGGGAGTTTGGGTTAACCCTGAACCCTAATCCCTAAACCCTAAAACCTATACCCTGAAAACCCTAAACCCTAAACCCTAAAACCTAAACCCTAAACCCTAAAACCTAAACCCTAACACCTAAACCCTAAACCCTAAACCCTATGTCTGGGAGCCTTCGGAGAACAGAAGGACCCCAAGTCTCTTATGCTCACAAGTTTGCAAACGACACTTGCCGACTTTACTTGTGCTGACTGCAATACTTAGGGTTTAGGGTTCAGGGGTTTAGGGTTTAGGGGTTTAGGGTTTTGGGGTTTAGGGTTTAGGGTTTAGGGTTTAGGGTACTTGTGATGTAAGTGGAGCAGCATCAGTGGCCGTCTTAGTAGTAGGAGTAGCTGCTGTCGCGAGAGTCCTAAACCCTAAACCGTTATGACAGCAGTTGTGGTAGGGGTAAGTTTGGGCCCATCACCTGCTAATCTGCAACTTTCAGGAAAATGAAGCGAATCAACAACTCTGTTGTCATGCGAAGCTCGTTCGTAACGAAACCGCAAATCTCAGGGGCGTCCGGGAGCGATGACAAAAGACCGAGCAGAAGCACACACACCAGCTCTTCCTCGCGATGCTAAACCCCCTGGAGCCTTAGGGTTTCGGGTTTAGGGTCGCTCTGAAGCACCTAGGCCTAAGCCCTAAGCCTAACTCCAAAGCCCCTAGATCTGGCACCTGTACAACCTGCTCCGTGGTGACAGGGGTGGCCTCAACGATGCTGAGATGTCAGAAGTGCGTTCCTTGTCTGGATTTGTTCACAGGGATTCCTGTCGAGTGTCATAATGCCACCTTACAGTACCAATCATATAACGATTTCTTGTTTGCCCTTAAACACTAAAAGCCCTAAAAATCCCAAGACCAGAAAAAACTAAGCCGCTAAACCTGTGCCCTAAACCCCATTAACGCCGCCATTTTAATCTTGAGGGGGATCAACAAGTGCACCAGGACCCATATTGCCCTCGGTTTAGGCTTTAGGGTTTAGGGTTTTCAGGGTTAGAGGGTTTAGGGTTTAGGGGTTAGGATTTAAGGTTTAGGGTGAAGCGGAAACCGATAAAACGCGACGCTCTTTGGCTTCTACTCTTCCTATGTGCTCTGTGCGCAGGAAGGCAGGTGGCCAATGCAAGGGCCGACAGGCACGGGGCTTTAGGTTGTTTTTGTTTTTTTCTTGAGCTGCCGCTTGAGGCCTTGAGGCTTGAGTTTGAGGGTTCAGGGATTGCTTTCGGGCTTTGGGGTGCGCTGTACTCGATTCCCTGAAAAGCGACGCCTTTAGAGCTCGGGCTTGGTTTTTATTGGGTCCTTGGGGGAGAACTCCGGACTTATCCCAGCAATTTCATCAGCTGACGGTATCTTACCCCAAACGTCCACATTCCGAAACCCTGAACCTAGCTTGCAGTTCAACAGCTGCCTGTTTAGAAGTGCCTTTGAGCCGGACGATAAGGGGCGTAGAAGTTTAAGAGAAGGAAACCCTAAACCCTAAACCCTAAACCTTAAACCCTAAACCCTAAACCCTAAACCCTAAGGGCCTTGCCAGTTGGGAGTCGTCGAGGATTTCGTCGCGGGCCTTCTGGGATGCAACTTGAAGTTTGAGGATGAAGCCTGAACCCCCTTAACCCTGCTGCCAAAGATCCCTAAGACTACTTGGAAGGGCAGGGGACTTAGTAAGTAGCTTATAAGTAGGGTTATAATTGGGGTAACTCCATTTAGGGTACTTATAACTCTACTTATAACCTACTTTCTAAGTCACTCCAAGTAAGCCCTAGACCCCGCACCCTCAAATCCTTCAAGCCCGAAACTCCCAAGCCAGAGCAACCCAGCCCTGAACCTCCGAAACAAAGACTTCTTCCGAGTACTTAAGGTTGCGGGTTGCAGACTTCCGGCTTTGTGACCTTTATGATTTAAGTTCGCGGTTTAGGGTTCAGGGCATCTTATGGGCGATACTATGGCTTCATCGTGGATTTCTGATTATGGGCTCCTTGTGGGCTCTACTACGCGGGTTTATTATGAGTTTTTGGCAGCTGGGGCCATCCTGTCTTGGTCAGGCTTCACGCGAAGAAACTCTCCGACATCAAGCCGTACTCTCGCCCCTTGAATCATCACTAAGGGGCTGGAACCTAGAACGTTAGACCCCAAAACCTCAAGCTCCATAATATAAGGGGATCATCTAATAATTACCTATACCTTTTTTGGGGCTCATAATTTTAACTGTAGTATTACATACACCAAAACCCTCTTCTAATTATCAAGGCCCCTATATTAGCCTCTTGCGACGGTCCAGAACCACGAGGTTTAGATCCACAAGGCTTGCTCGACAGAATCGACAAATAAAGACAAGTTCAAGACAAATAAAGCCAAATCAAATACGCAGACACTTTCCGAGTGAAACCCGTACAGGGTGTTCCAGACAGGGTCCTCGTGGCAAGATGTCGGAACTTCCATAGCTTGCCTGAGATTGCAGAAGGGTTGGCTGTTCTTTTTGTATTCATTTGGGCCTCAGCTTGTAAAAGTGCCTAGACCCTCAAACTGTAACCACCTAAAACTTTGCCAAACATGCCTTTCATGTCCTCCAGCCAAGACGAAAATGCCAAACCGCCCCACGCCCCACCCTAAACCCTAACCCCCTAAACCCGAAACGCCCAACCCAAAACACTATACCCCAAACCCAAAACACTATACCCTAAACACTATACCCTAAACCCTAAACACTATACCCTAAACCCTAAACCCTAAGCCCCCTGAACCCTGAACCCTCAGGACCGTAGGGCCCCCATAGCCTTCAACCTCGAAGCCTACATGCTCACTTAGATTACGGACCCCAAAAGCACATAAGCATAAGCATTTTATAGGGAGATCCCTAAGGTCCCTACCTGATTGGGCCTCACTATAAGGTGGTTTATATGGGACATCCCTATACTGAGTTTTGCTTATGTGTTTTTTTGGGGGCCCTATTAGAGGCCCAGGGGACTTAGTAAGTAAAGTAGGTTATAAGCACCCTAGATGGAGTTGCCCCTATGAAAACCCTGCTTATAACTGAGTTACTAAGTCCCCTGGGCCTCCAAGTAATCCCTGCCTGAACACCCCAAAGTAGGTGCAGTGTAGTAATGGCCCTGCACTTACTAGGATGCCCAGTAGTACCCTTATTCCCTTTTTGAAGCCCTAGGTTCCCTATAAAGTTACCCAATACCAAGAAGGGAGCCCTTTTTACTCCTAGGTTATTGGGCATCCTAGCTTATAGAATGCCATTATTCTGCATACTTTCGGGATCCAAGTGAGCCCTGGGCCAGTGACCCCCAATCCCTAAACCGTGACCCCTGAACCCTGAACCTACTTGGGCAGGCGCACAAAGAAGGCCGTCATCCTAACGGTAACGTTAAAGGAACCTGAGCCTTGAACTCTACACCCTAAACCCTAAACACTGAACCTTAAACCCTAAACACTAAATTAAACCTTAAACCCTAAACCCTAAACACTAAACCTTAAAGATAAACCTTACAAACCCTAAACCCTGGACCTTAAACCCTAAGTCCTACACCCTACTCTGGAGCCCTACTTGGAAGGGCAGGGGACTTAGTAAGTAGGTTATAAGTAGGGTTTTAATTAGGGTAACTCCATTTAGGGTACTTATAGCTCTACTTAAAACCTACTTACTAAGTCCCCTGCCCCTCACACCGACCTTTCGTCTATCCCGGCAGGGCATGGTTAGAAGCGCACGCCTGAGCCTCCCGGCCCCTGAAAGCGCTGTGGAGCTGCAGAAGGGCTTGGGCGTAATGTTTGGAGGAAACTAATATAGGGGCCTCAATACTTAGAATAGGATTTTGAGGCTCACTATACTATTAGAATAATAGGAGCCCTCCCAAAAGGTAATTATTCAGGCCCCTATAGTAGCGGTCTAGATTTTGGGAGCGAGGGTTCAGGGATTTTGGGGGTTTGGGGTCTAGGGTTACGAAGGCTTAGGGTTCAGGGTCAGGCTTCGGTCAGAAGCTCACTACTTGGAGGTTCATGGGTAGCTTTACTAGGATGCCCAGTAGTACCCTTATTCCCTTTTTGTAGTCCTAGGTTCCTTATAAAGGGACCTTTATACCAAAAAGAGAGGCCTTTTTATTCTTAGGTTACTGGGTATCCTAGTTTAAGTGAAGTTATAAGCCCCTAATATGGGTTATAAGTATAGTTACCCTAATTATAGCCCTACTTATAACTACCCATGAACCTCCCAGAACCCTAGCCATTGCCGTCCCAAACTCACTGGCTAGGATCCCATGAGTCGGGCTTCTGCCTGCCTGGCTGGCAACAAGCCGCCACTTATTCAGGGCATCGCGTCTCCAGATGCTGGCTAGGACCCAGAGTAGGCCCTTATTCCCTTTTTTTAGGGTCTAGGTTCCCTTAAAACCCCCTTTAAACCAAAAAGGGCACCCTTTTTATTGCTAGGTCACTCTTAGGTTTAGCTGGTGAGGTGTGCAGGGGAGCCCAGCCCGACAGTATGAAGACTGTAAGTTGGGTACGGCCCCCACGCAGTAATAGTTTAATAATACTCATAATATAGGTATATTCGGCCCTTAATGGGAGCCCTAGTATATAGACTCTTACTGTATGGGGGCAGTACCTAGACTGTAACTCTAAAACCCTCCAAACCTATCCTCAGCTTCAGCCGAAGATGGAGACAGGGTGTGTTCTTCAGTGTCGCGGCATTCTGAGCTCTGTCCTTTGCAGAGGAATCAAATTTCTCTGTTTACTCATTTTGCGGCTGGTCGGGTTCTTAGCAGACTTAGCCAGCTCAAAGATGCAATGCATGCGGGCTTTATGAGATAACAGGGCTGACAGGGGCTGTCGGAGGCCTCCACCTAGGGGCGCATCAGTCAAAGCACAGGGTCGTTCTTGGTTTGGCGACGGGTTTAGGGCTTCGGGTGTCTTGTTCGGATTATTGGCTTGCGGTCTTGCTGTTGCATGGCGAAGTGAAGCCAACAACAAGTAGATGTACCAAGTGAAAGTCTGAGCTTCCAAGAGCTTCGCATCCTCGGAATGCTTCACCCAAGTCGTAGTGCTAGGACTTTCGACCCGCTGAGCGGTTCTCAAAGACAGATGTGAAGCTTCTTAGCGCATGAGCAAAAGGTGCTCGAATGCCACAGAAGCCCAGATAAGGTCTTCGCAGCGCTTTTGCTGTTTAAGGTTGAGGGTTTGGGATCCGGGTTTGAGGGTTTAGGGTCGAGGGTTTGGTGTTTAAGGCTTTTAAGGCCTACGGGTTGAGAGCGGTGTTTAGGGGCTCAGGGTTTGGGGATTAGAGACAAGGAGGCAAGATGTGCTAAACCCGAAGCCCTACACCCTGAACCCTTAGACCCTAAACCGGATTCAGTACCTCAAAATCAGCAGCACTCTAGACTCTAGACTCTGGAGACTCTTCAGGCAGACAGTTTGGGGTTTAGGGAAGCCCCACTTGGGGGCTTGGAGGTTCACGGGTGCAGTAGTAATAAGTTCTAAGTGTAGCTGCCTTACTTAAAACCCCAGTTATTATATATAGCTACCCATGAACATCCAAGTAAGCCCTAAACCCCCTATTAACCCTAAACTCTTTAGGGCTGGCACACACCCCGCAGGTGAAGTTCCCGCGGCACTGCACTCCCATCCTCAGCCGCTGGGCGCGCTCACCTGTTGGTTGTACTGTAAGATCTTCTTCGGGCTTCTTGCTTGCCGATGACAATCAAACCCTAAACCCTAGACCCTAAACCGAGCGTATACCAGCATTGCTGCGATCCTGATTGCACACGCCTCGTCTCAATCCATCCCACAGCTGTTTCACATACTGTCCGTCCGGCTGCTGTTAGTGTTTTCGAGGATATGAGCGCCATTTCTCCTGTTGTTACTACTGCACCTGCACACTTGGAGGGTTGGGGGACTTAGTAAGTAGGTAGTAAGTAGACTCATAAGTACCCGAAAAGGGACCCTAATTGGGGTTATGGTACTTATAAGTCCCTAAAATAACCAGTTGCTAAGTCCCCCAACCCTCCAAGCAGAGGGAGCAAGGAGGCATTTCCCCCAAATCCCAAGCCGTGTCGAGTCCGGCTTCCGCCCCGGGTTCCTCCACCGGTTGGACCCTCCAATCCTCAAAGGGTTTAGGGTTTAGGGTAACTTTAAGAAGGACACCCCGAAGCACAGACTGTAGAGCACTCAACGACAGTACACGTTGGCCAGATTATCTGCATGATGTAACCCAAGTCCTGAGACAACAGCACAACCCCATGATGAGTCTGCTAGCGTAGCACATTAGAAGGGTCAGGACTTGTTCATGCGCGGTCCTGTGCAATTGTTAGTCTGCCATACTGACCCTGCCTTCAAGAAATATATAGCCCTGAACCCTAAACCCTAAAAGCCCTAAGCCATCAAGGCCCGAGCCTTAAAGAAACTCGGACCATGCTCCACATCCACTGCTAACGATGAAGGCCGCTACGCTCTAAACCCTATAAGCCCCAAACCCTCAACCCTAAACCCTATAAGCGCTAAGCCCTAAACCCTATCAGCTCTAATCCCTAAACCCTATAGATAACCTCAGCCCTTCAAGATCTAAACTCTATAAGCCCTAAACCTACATTCACCCAGCATCAAAGGAGTCGAGTGCGGGCGTTCGCACACCGCCCGGACCCCTGAGAACCCTGCGTCAACTTGATCGGGAACTTAGCTGTGGTAAAGTATGGAGATTTAACACATACCTAGATCTACCAAAACCTACATTTTTGCAGGGTCCCTATAAATTCCACATTAGGGTTTATAACAGGCACCTACAAAAACTTAGGGTTTGGTAGGTTAAGGTAGTTTACTACGATGATAAGAAGTCTCGCAAGCTGCAGCACGATCCGAACGTAGAGCAGCCCCAAGATCGGCCCTGGCCTTCCTTGAGGGTTGCTTAGAAGGTTCTACAGTAGGTTTTAGGGTTCAGGGCTTGAGGTTAAAACAAAGATGCCTTATGGCCATCGCCGGGACAGGTATGAATTCTGAGCAACTACCATCCCGCACCCTGAACCCAAGCCACAAACACAAACCCAAGGGTTTAGGGTTTAGGGTTTAGCTCCAAACCCCATACTTCATATTAGTGGGCCCTGGGACAGCAAACAAAGCCGCCTAAACGATGCGACAGATTGCAGAAAGCTTTTCACACCTTGGACCCACCCAAGCCTCAACTCAGACCCAGACCTGTGCCTGAAACCCTATTTTTAGGGGTACTTAGAAATGACTTTTAACTTTTGGTTATTTATAATCCCTAGAAATTATACTTTTTGTTTGGGTTCCAAGTTCAGTATAGTATCTCCTTGCCCCAAGTTCCTTGCTGAGGCGTAAGCCCGAAACAGCCCAAACCCTGCCGCCCTCTTGGCACCCCTCCCCGCCAAGGTTGCAGTGGGTGCAGAAGGGCAAGTTGTATCCTGGGGAGACGACTCAAAGGCTCTCGTTGAGAGTTTTGTGGTTCAGGGTTTATCAGGGGTATGGGGTTGAATGGGTGTTCATCGGGTGTAACAGGGTTTAAGAGGTGGCTCGAGTTGTTGTGAGGTAATCGGGTTCAGCAGTGGAGCGATGGCATGAGTACGGCTCGGGGATGTTTTGGGTTTAGGGGTGTGAGCTCCTGGGGCACACTGCTCGGCCCGCAGGTTCTCCTAAACTCGGAACCATCAACCTCCAGTTCTGAACCTAAAACCCAAAATACAGGTAGCAGCTTCTTTTAGCCCTCATAAAAACTTGAGATGCCCCAAAGCTTCAGTCTATGTATGAAGGCCCTCCTATCTTAGAGTCCAATGGGCCCTAAACCCTAAATCGGCTCAAAACAAGCTGTAATTCCAAGGGTAAAGGGAGGGACCCTTAATAAGGACCCCTAGGTATCTAACCGTAATGCAGCTATTATATACCCATTATATAGCCCATTATAGGGTAAGGGTCCCCATTAAGGGTCCCTCCTTTTTCCCTTTGAGTAATGGTGTTCACTCCGGGGACTGGACCACTACAAGCAACCGTGTGGATCCAGCTCCCGTGGGGCAAGGACTGTCGGGCTTTCTGTTGTAAGTTGGGTTATATATGGGTGGTTGTCAAAATTATGGTCCCTTTTTGGGTAGCCCAAATAATCGGTGCCGTATTATACAATAAGGATCCCAAAAAGGGACCATAGTTTTGACAACCACCCATATAGGGGCCAAAGCAAGAACCGAGCACTTGTTGGTTTGATTTGGCTTTGTTTTCCAGTCGTCAGGCCTACGGTTGTTTATGATTTGGTTCATGGCGGAGTTTTGCCGACTTTTGGTCGCGGCATGGCTTGGGTGTTCATACTCACTCTAAATCCTCAACCCTGATTCAAGGCCATTTTCATGCTTGTGACATCCGCATCGAGCTGACGATCAGAATTCCATGAACCCACCTGTGGGTTTTTGGAGCTCGCTCGGATTTCTATCCTTCGCGCATGACAACGGTGAAGTCCGTCGATGCCGAGCACGGCCGGTGACTCGCTCCGCCAGTCGGCTTCCTTGATCAAAAGAGCCTCGATGAATCCGGGGTATGCGGCACTCCACGAGAACCTCTTGGGTGCACTGAACCGGGCAAGGTCTCAAGTGCTCAGGAATGCCGGGAAGGCCACCACGGATCGCAACTCGGACAGGGTGATCGAAGGAATGCGCGCAGTGACAGACCGAGAGATCATGCATGACCTGGTTCTGGCCATCGCGGACGGATCGGTCG